CCCCAAAACCCCAAAACCCCAAAACCCCGTGTTTCTGGATTGCTGACCAATAAGATTTATCAAATATGGATAAGCTTCACATTTGCAAACTATTTTTATTCTATTTCAATTATAATAATATCGATTGATTTAAGTAAATTTCGCAAAGTCAATATGAACAAAGTAGATTCATAGACACAACTTAAGCCTCCCCTGAACATGAATATCGGTCTGCCACCAAAGTCCCCAGGAGGAATCGGTAATAAATCTGCTAGGAATCCTAGAATCAAGCGAAACTCTTCTCCATAATCTGTAAATTAAAAATATCCTTGATTTATTCTTAAAGATAATAAACGATCCTTTCATGCAAACTGCATTTTTAATTCATGAAAGTATTAAATTAGCTCATATTCAGACTGGAAATCCTTTCTAGCATCCTGTTAATTCAGAACAAACCATTCATTTTACTCAAAGAAATATGTATTAAGGAACTCCTCCAACAGATGATATATCGTCCATACCTTCGGGAAAGTAAACTCCAGACTTTAGAAATATTTCTAGTCGTAACTAGGGTATAAGAAAACAATCACTAACTGTGGGTTAATCACTCCTTGAAAGTCCAAATAATCCTGACTAGCTAAACTAAAACTATTATACTCAGCCATTTGGATCACAAGAGGATGCGTATTCAAAGGTATTTTCTCCTTAAACAATGGATAAAAGATTCCCGAAGCTTAAGCCTATTAATGTTTGTAAGAAAGTATCTAAAAAGTAGTTGTTAAAATAAATTAGCAAACAACTTAGCTAAGACCAGAACTTTGTGTTCTAATCAGTAGATGGTAGCTTGAATTCAATCGCAGGACAGACCATAAAGAACACTCAATAGAGTTTCTATGATTATAATCAATCATCCATGTTATAAAATTCTTAATCTCAGAAGAATCTTCCAACATAGCTGATCTCGGAAGAATAGAACTTTTAACCTCAATCTTCCTTTAGAGAGAAAGTTAATTCACCCCCTCTTTTTAACCCATCTGAAAAAGATCTATCCGAGATAGTTAGAGAAGCACAAAATATTGCTAAAAAATCTGGAAGTGCTGTTGGAAGCAAAGATTCAATTGCAGTTAGTACAGCTATGATAGATTAGGACATCCCAAATAATATGAATATGCCGAAATCTCAGGGTCGAAATCCGATGAATTAATCTTAGAAAAATCCAAATTTAACAAAAAGTTAATCCTAACCAAACGGTGTAAACTATTTGCAAGACCCTAATGCATAAGCATAGCAAACTAATGGCCAAGGTTAAGGCTAAAACAATAACTTTGAGTTTAAGTTATTCATGCGTCATAATTATATCCGTGATAATAACAACGAAAATCAAGTACAAATGGAGACATATATAAAGAGCAGTGGTACTTACAATAAAATGAAAAGGAAAAATCAGATTTCAATCCTAGATTCTGTGAATTACGATAGTAATACATCGAGATAGTAGCAAACCGATCATTATGGACTTAATGGGAGTAGAACTGCTAGATAAAATGAATTCAGTTTGCCAAAGATTGATAAAAATAACAGCCACTTAAAGAATAGTATAAATGGGTCAGAGGATATTTAACAATAAAATCCAAAATAAAAAGTATCAGTACAAGGTGCATAAAACTTAAAGCAAATTATTCAGCAGCAAAAGCTTAAAGGCTAGGAACAGATCATTAAGGATTAGGCTAAGTTAGTAGCACATTAGCAGCAGTAATAATTATAGCTTGGAGAGCAAAATGAGAATCTGAAAAAGACAAATAAATTTAGAGCAAGATACCTTACAAAAAAGACAGACTCTCATTATTACAACCCAAGCATGCTTTAATAAAGCAACATTCAAGATCAAAACTTAACTAATGCTTAAATTTATCTTCAAGGAGTCTAACAGCAATAGCAATAAGTGTTTTAAGATTACTAGCAGCAGCAGGACGATAAGTAGCTCAATAAGGATATTGACTAACTAATTAATTAGTAAATGATTAAGCAATAGCAAATGCAATATTAACAGAAATAGTATTAAGAATTAAAAGAAGCATTACTACAATCAGATAAAAACTTATAGCAACAGATTCCTTAAAGTTACATGAGATCATCAAAGAATCAATAGCCTGAAAAGTAATCATAATCCCCGCCATCATATCGATATTAGCAATAACCATAACAAAACTAACAGTTTCAAACTGTAGGGACCAAGGTCCCATATAAGAGAAAGATTGTGAGGGGCACTAATGACTAGATTGATTTAAATAGAGACTACTAAACAATGCAAAATCCTTAGTAAAATATGGCAAAATATGATTAAAATGACGTGGCATTCATAGATGCCTAGTTTCAACAAGATGACTAACTAAGCTAAGAATTTTTCAATTCTACCGCTTCAAAAACAAACAAAAGAAAAATAGAAAAGATGATTATTGAGTCAAGAACTATTGAAGAGCTGGCAAACAGTACTAATGGCACTACTTCGCAGCTATATCATCTATAGAGTATACAGCAGGCATCTCAATCATAGCCAAATAAGGCTATTGAGGTGGACGAGGCTTACAGCTAAATGCCTATGGCCAAACCCCTTTATAAGGTAATGAGCAGCTAAGTTATGAGGAATGCTATCATCCATGAGGATGATGCTGAATCAGTATTAAGCTCCAGAATGGCTTCTAGGAAATGACGAGTCTATCTGTGAGCTTTTAAAGTCTTTAATATTTATTTGAGAGATATTATTGAATGAAGTATTCAAAAGCTATTTTCGTATTATAAACTTTTCGAATTTTAATAGATTTTATATGCTCGGGGTTTTGGGGTTTTGGGG